CACAATTGGTGACTGACTAAATACTTTTTTTCCCCACTGTATATGCATCTCACTGATTTTCAATCTGTATTTCAAATATTTGTAGCATGATCATGTAAAAGTCTGCATCAAAATGCAGAAAATTAACAAGACATTATTTACATGGCAATATGTAAAAATATAACTATATAATATGTAAACATATCCACAAAGGGAATATATAAGCAGGAAAAAGAGTTATTCTTAAAAAAAAGTTTATATATATATATAAAGTTATATATATAAATATAACCACAAAATAATAATAATAATAATTATTATTATTGTTGTTGTTGTTGTTGTTGTTGTTTAAATAAATAAATATATTTTTTTTTAACAGGATTTTTTTTTCTTTGCATTGCAGCATCATTTAGTCCCCAATTTCACTGTATATGCTTTGCATAAGAAAAAAATTAAGTCTAAATTTGAGATTAAATAAACCAAACATTTCATGCATTTTTTAATCATGTGGATTCTGAATTAAATTTAGGATTAAACGTATTTTTAAATACCAAATTCCATGAATATTGTAGGTAAAATTTTGTTTTTTCCCTTATTGTTTTTTTTTCTTTTTTGATTGTCTTATTTACAAAATGTCCCCAAAAGGAATACATACAGTAAGATAAAAAAAGGAGGAGAAAGAGTTCATCTAAAAATACTTAACCCCAAAATAAAAAGAAAATTGACATGATAAATTGCATTGTTTTTGTTTGTTTGTTTGTTTGTTTTTGCATTAAATCCTAAAATGAATTGAGAATCCAAATGGATTATATATATATATATATATATATGTATATATGTAATTTCAGGTTATTTGATTTTGTAGCTGGTGGAGTGCAAGTTTCATGAGACACGCAGCTGCTCTGGAGTGTCTCCATTCAGCTGTGAACTCTGCTGTCTGCAGCCAGAGAATGAGCTTATTAGCAATGAGAGATAAATTGGAGCGGCGAGGGCTGTCACATCGGACCCTGAGAGCTGGTCCAGGCGGTTGAGGAGAGCAGAGAAAGGTCCCTGTCACAAAGTAACTCGCACAAACAAAAAGTGTCACTTTGCCTGTGGTGGAGGTAATGACAGACAGAGAAAACCAGGCTGGATGCCAGACGCTCCATTGTCCGGTTCTGAACACCTGCCAGACGAGAGAACCAATGACAAACTCCTGCATCAGCCCAGCACAGGGGGAAAAGGTCATTTTATAGGCATCCCAGAGGCGAAGATTGACATGAGCTGTAAGGGATGAATCCACCGCTGTCATTCGGGTGC